ATATGGTTTGTAGTTCTCTCTGTGAGCATACGTCAAATATTTTTTTATGCAACAGTTTAGAAGCGTTTGGAAACAAAGGCTTGATTTATCCATTTCTGCGTCCAGTTGACTCATGTCTGTGGCCATAGTGTTGCTGAGTGTTTTAGCAGCCACTCCCTTTTAGGCTACATCTGGGAGCTTTATAAGGTTTGAAGAGGCAGTCAGCTTTTTTTTTCCCTTTTAACAGCTAGTCATCATGCCCTTCAACTGGATAATAAGCAAATTGTGTGTGTGAATCCACTTTATGGTCCCCGCCTTATTTTAAACGCAGTCAAACCTCCAGCTGGTCAGAAATCCGAGTTATTTCTGTGTGCTCTCTTTGTTCAGCCTGTCAGCACTCATGGTCATTAAAATACCCGTCCATTTTGGTTGCTGAAGACTGGCATTCAAGGCGTGGGAATTGAGCTCACTGGAGACAGAGTCAGACCAGGCTGGCATTTAGTTCTGGTGACACTTGAAGGCACGGTGGCCTTTATAGATTATCAGTAGACACATGGGATCAGGCTGACAGAAGCCAGGTCTCCTCGGTATGTCACACGCACTATGTAGGACTGAAAAGTGCAATTTAAAAGAGGATTATATGATTAAAGTAAGGTTTTGTTTGCAGGAAATGTACAGTTTTGTTGTGTAAAATAAAATGTAATTTTTGCTTCATAATACAGAATGGGACGTTACAGTACCACATATCATGATAAAAAACACTCATGTACACAATGAATCGTGGTGAATTTCCAATATCAAGTTAATGATGAATGCGATAATGCAGTCCTATATTGATTTCCTGATTCATTTTAAACAAAGGGGACAACAGGGAGCCTGCATCCTTTCACTTATTTTGGCCAAGGTAATCGTCCCATGCCTACTTCATAGCATAACTCTTGGTTCATAAAACTGCAAGTCAGGACTTGGGGGAAGGAGAACATACACTATGTTACATAATCCACTTACACAATATGTTTGAAATGGACCTTCCCTCTTATCTTCTTTTTCCTTCGTTTATCAGCATCTAAACCATTTCAGAGGCTATTATGTTAAGTAATACTTCTTGTTAGAGGATCCATTTTTGCAGTGAACTAGCTCATTAGCTCTCAGGAGGACAGTCACCTTATTGAAATTGTGCTGAATTAGAACAGTTTTGATAGAACCCGAGAGCATGTAGGTCATTATAAATAGCTAAGGAGGAGGAAGGGAAAAAAAGACGTGTGATTCTGTCTTTTGGCCTATTTAGATGCATCTTTCGGTCCAGAGGCAGATACACTAGACTCTCCAAACAACACAGTTTGATAACTGCAGGAAAATAATATATGGAAAATAATTCATTGTATAATAAACACCAATCTAACTATTTGTCTTGCTGTTTGTGGGTGGAGTTGGACACATCTGGAATCTCAGGTGGTGTCATAATGAACACTTTTCTTTATTGTGACGGCATTCTCACTCATTTCTGGCTTCTATTTGCGAAGACTCTCACATTATACTCTGCTTATTATAACTCTGCTTTGAGTATCGTTAAAAAAGAAGTGACTACAGTATCTTATATCGAGTTTTTATCTGATTTCTAGTCAGCCTGCTTTAATTACCACAAGCGAGCGGGCAAACACAGCACCTCCACCCAGTGAAAAGGAAGGCAGTAATGTGTCAGTGTTGAAATCATTCACACCTCTCAGTTTCAAGAAGGTTTTGAGGGGCTGCCACTCTCAGTCATTTAGAGCTGAAATTACCAGTACAGATGCTTACAGTTTAACAGCAACTGGAAAAGATGAGACAGGAAAGTCTTTTCAAATTAAAGCAAACTGAATGCTGACTTTTTCCACTTCACTGGCTTTACATTTCATTTAGCACCTTGACGTCTGTTTCTATACACCTGCAGCCATGCAACAGTTACCACTGATTCCTGTTACATGAGCCTGACACATACAGTAGTTACATGCTTTCTTTTCCTTTTCTGAGAAGTAACTACTATAAGGAGTCATAAGCCAACAAATAAAGAGTGTAAAATAAGTAAATAAAACTGCTCTGTGGCTTTGGACAAACTCTGGCTGTGCTGGCATTGCCTTCTTCTAATATGTTCTCAGCTTATTGTGACTCATGTCCCAGATTCTTTGAACAGAGGATTAATGGACAAACAAAGTGTGGTCGATTAGTAACAGACCTGGAAGAAACTCTCTGTTTTTAATCCACTTGTTGTTGGGTGGGGTCGACTGCATCCGGGCAATTGAGAGAGCGTCAAGTAAGTTGTCATTCACAGGAAGGTCTAATTCAATACGATATGATTGTCTGCGTGTCCTGGCACTGACTGCATTGTGTTGTGTGGCATTGTATGTAGCACTGTGGTAGCCACCCATCTGACACCAACAGCTGTTAAAATATTTGTAAATTGTTTCCACCCTAGACTGATTTAATAATATATCTGTGAAATCTCTATCTTTGCTCTCCGAAATGTTGTTTTTAATAAAAGCTGTGAGCCCATAAGAATGATGTCATGTTACTGCTCTTACGCTGCAACTTTATCACCCCAGGGTTCATGGAAGTTAAAATAAAAGACCCTGCACCCGTAGGCTTCACTGTAGATGCTTTAGCACAGGTACAACAGTGGCTTTACAAAGAGCTTTTTGATGGTCTGAAACCCAAAGACACAAATGTGAAGAATGCCAAGGACAATGAGCAATCATTGACTGAGAGGAAATGCCATTCAGGCAGTCAGTGAGCCACGGGGAGAACAGCAATCAGAGAGGACTATTTCTGGAATATCTCCTTCATCGCTCAGATGGCTGCTTTGAACAGCTTTTTGTGACTTCCTTGATTAGTTGGTTTAATGACAATGTCCTGGTACCCACTCACACACATCCCTAAGCAGGACGTGCTTTGTGCACACACAGCTCACTGCAGGGTATCTCTACTGATGCAGCAACAAACCTGCTGTTCTAACATTTTAGGCCTCCAGTCGCCCATTATTCCACCACTGAAACACTAAGAGCTGATTCAGGCAGATGGCCCATTGCATAAATCATCCTGCAGATTCAGAGCTCATAACTTCCTGCATCTGTAACGTAAAGAGCGTCTACACTGACCTCTAGGTGGAACGGTTCAAGTCTGTTGTTGACCTCAACCATCATCACCAATGAGTGTGCTCACGTGTGGTGCAGTTGTGATGATTACACCTCATTGTGATGCAGCTTTGCACAATATTGTGAAGTGCTGAACTGCACAGGATGCGGACAGGGCAAGGTGACCCATGTGTGTGAGGAAGAAGTCACCGCACAAGCTGAGAAAACCGTGCTGCCACTATATCACCCACATACAAACAACAAAATATTGAGCACATACCCTAACTATGCATATGAAATAATAGTAAAATATGTTTTGTGTTCACCAGTCTGGCAATATCGTCAAACTCAGTGTTTTTCAACCTATTGGTGTCAAGGACCCCCGGATTGATACACATCAGGCTGGGACCTGTAGGCTGTTTGATAATATGTAGTCTCACGGATTACGTAACTGTCCTTACTAAACTGTACATTATCATTAACAGTGAAGAGTGTGAAGCCTACAATAGTCACTATACATTTTCTCACATTTGCCTTTAGTCAATTAAATAATGAAATTAAAATATTTCCCATTTTTCTGGGGACCCCTGGGAACCCCTTTAAGCATCCCTGGGGGACCCCAGGTTGAGAACCAGTGGTTTAACCAACCCAGCTGGCAGTGTTGGGGAATGTTAGCTGGCACTGGGGGATTCCTGATGCAAATACGGCTTTAGTGTGTAACATCAGCATTGTTACTACGTTAACAGTTTCTAAAAGGACTTTGGGTGTAGCTACTCTTTATGTGTAAAATGTGACAACCAGATAGATCCACTGTTTTGAGTGAACTCTGGTGGAGGACATGCAGCCAGACTACTTCAGATTTTTCTCTTTTCCCCCAAATCCCAAACCGTACATATTTTAAGTTTGAAGAAGTACAAACAGAAGAGAGAGAGGGAGGGAGAGAGAGGGAGGGAGAGAGAGAGAGTTGAAGGCATGTGTCAACCTATTTTATTCATCTGCTTTCTGTCCTGTAGATTGAAGTTGACTTGAGTTACTGGAACAGGAGATGTTCTACTTATTCTTTGTTTTTGTTGTTGTGCCCGACACAGCGTTGAAGATTTGTAACTTTTGTGAACAGTGTTAACTGAGTCATGTTAAGTTTGAGCGTGAGAACATGTTTGCTTTGAAGCTGATTATTTTAGCTGTCTGTGTTTTCCTGTTACTTGGTCATGGTGACTGACATTGGGGAAATGCATTAGTGCAATGATAGGAGGGGTTGCAATGACCCCGCCTAGAGGCGAACAGACTGCAAACACATCGTGTCTACCACAAAGTTAGAGGAAGGAAATGCTTGCACACTCATACAGTACACGCTCTGAGAGAGGTCCTTTTAAGGAAAAGGCCCTGCTCTTGCCTGAGTGCTAAGTGGAGCAAAGGCAATGCCTTCAAATACAGAAATATAAATACATATACACATTTACACACTGTTGTGACTGCATGTCTGCGTGAGTCTCGAGATTTCTCACAAGATTGTATGCTTATAAATACAGCCCACTACGTCTATTCAGAGTTTAAAGGACACCTGATATCCTGTGTTTATAGACACTGCTACAACCCTGGTAATCCAGTCTCCTTTGACATTGGCAGTGTACAGAACATGATTCATTTCACTTGTTCAGTACTGTAGTTTTAGAAGCATAGCTTTGGTAAAATTTAAACTCTCTAGAAATTAAAGGTCCAGTTGCTGAATCTTATGCCGCATTTACCTCCCAACCATGTCCCACAAATTTCACATCTCTCTGTCGAGGAACTGGACCTCTGTTCACACGAGTGTTCATTTATAGATGTGTTCTCAGCTAAATAAGCTGCTGTCTCACTTCTTCTTTCTTTCCTATTTTCTTTCTCTTTCTATTTCTTTCTTCATCCGTCCCTCAGGCCGAGGCCAGGCTGGCAGCGAAGAGGGCAGCGAGGGCAGAGGCCAGAGAGATCCGCATGAAGGAGCTGGAGAGACAACAGAAAGAGGTATGAGTCACGAACACACATTTAAAAACATGAATACAAGATCCACCTTATGGGTAAGCATTATAAGCATTATATGAATACTCGTTCGTATTTTAGGAGGTCATCATATTTATATAGCATTATTATATTGAAGTTTGTAACACTAGGTGCTATAGAGTGCTGGTTCCCTTTACAGAAAGCCAACAGGATTTTTCCATTGGATTTTGGATTTTGGATTGTGGCAGAAAATAACGTCTGTGGCGAACACAGTTTTCTGATACTTACACGTTTTGTCCAGCAAAATCATCTTCAAGCCTTTTTTAAGATTCGTAAAAGCTTCAGAATTCACAAACTGGGTTTTTACTGACTTGTTTTATGTCACCGGCCAAAATCTCTTCAGCTTGTGTTAACCACAGACCTTATTTCAGGCATCTAACCAAAATCCCATTTTAAAGAAACAACAACATTGACTTCGAGGTGAGGAAACGGGATGTGCAAAACTGCTAACTCATTTCCGGGTTTCAGGACTCACTCCTGCAGCACTCTTTTGTACCACATGGCTTGATAATACATTACTCTAAGTAACAACAGGATGTCCGCAGTCTTGGTTGGTACTGTGTTGGCAGTTTGGACCTGAAGAACTTCCTGTCAACATTGCTTCACGCTCTAAGCTGGGACTCTTAAATCCTGTGGGTCATGGGTCAGAGGTGGAAACAGGGTGCTGTAACTGCTGCGTGTAGTAAGTGCAGAAAAAACATGTGACGTACGTATTGATTCAGGATGAACAAATAAAATACCCACCTCCTTATCAATCAGTCCTGCAGTAAAATGGAGCAAACCCCCTGGATCATGTGGATTAAGTTCATTTGCAAAACCCCAAATTTACAGAGAAGTTCAATTGTGAATGTTTTTTCATCTTAGAGGCCATCTGAACTTCCTCTTATTAATTCCTCTTAATAAAATGCAAAACATCTGGAGTACAGCTGATGAAATGTCACTTATGAAGCTCATCTTGCTCCACACACTGTACTGATTGAAGTGGATTAGTGTTAAAGCAATGTTTCTAAGTATAGAGCAGCATGTTAAAGTGAGTAAACCTCCTAATAGAAGTAAGTAAAGTATTCTTTTATCTTAGCCATAAGAGTCGATTGGTTTAGGAAGCTTTAAACAAGTAAAAATGAAGCTGTGTGACGGGAAAATGTGGGTATGTGGGTTTGAACCTTTTCCAGTTAATCTAAGGCCAAAATGGAAAAAAAAGACTTCCAAGACTTTTAATGCAATATTTAAGTCACACGTTTTATTGGGTTTTTTAAGTTATTTAATTGGTTTTGTCGTGGTTCTTTATGCGTAGCCCTGCCTCTTTAGATAGCTACATACAGTATGTAGTGTAGCAGTACTAGTACAATGAACTCCTGTTGTCTGCCATCTAAAAGCCTCCAGAAATGTTTAGGCCTTAATTAGATGGTCCTGCTGTGTAAAAGAGGCAATAAATGTGTGTCATTCTTTTTTTGTTTCATTTAAAATCTATAAACAATTGAATTAGTAACATTTAGTGCCACAGTTAGACCTCCATAGATGAATACAAAGACCAGAGACACCCTAAAACTCTGGTTTACACCCTCTGCACCCAGCACCTCCAGCGTTGACATCTGCTCTACATTCTGATTTGTGTTGAAACAGGTGCAGAGCTGAATTGTGTGTGTGTGTGTGTGTGTGTGTGTGTCTGTGTATGGTTGCGTGTTTGGTCTGTAGGTCAGTGGTGTGTTACTTAAGTTTTAGTTTCTCATTTTTTTTAACACCTCTAATCTGCACCGTGGGGAGTCGCACTTTTCCCAGATCACTATTCTTAGCCTGGAGTAATCCCATACACACAAACAGACTTCTGCCTCTCACCTGTCGAACCCCAACTCACAAATGTTGACTCATTTCTGTGTCCAGAGAGGATTTTGAAGTTAAGACCCCTAATACTATTATTACGTGTAACCCTGGTGGACTTTTCTTGAACCCTCTTGTCCGTCTTTCTTTGCTGCTTACAGATAACTCTTGCTGTTAGGATTAGGAGAACAAAATATACGTTGTTTGCTAGGGGTTGACATCCCCTAAAATCATTTATCAGAGAGTATCTAATGTTTTGATGTGATACTGATTTTATTATATTCATGTGAATTAAATTGAGGAACAGTTCACAGATACAATAATCAGATTTGGTCTAATTCTGTGAATTAAATACCTGGAAAAATCTTAAATTCTTTATCACATTCTGACATAAAGAAATTCTTCTCATGGATTTACACCGTAGCTCACAAAGACCTTATATGACCAGGGATAATAAAAGTGATAACCACTGTACATCAGGTACAAACCATACTGTACGGTCTACAATATATACTAATGTATATGATCACATTACTCAACCCTGTTCAGTTTCTCTTTTAAAAATAACAACTTCCCAAAGTGATTTGGTGCTTGCCAATATAGCAAACCCTTTTCCCATTAAGTTATACTGGGATAATCACTATTACAGCAGTACTCAAATTAAAATAATTTCCCCACGAAGTAATTTCCCCACGGGGATTATTAAAGTATTTCTGATTCTGATTCTGATTCTGAAATTATTCAGCAATCAAAACACAGCTGGTAAACCCAAACAACAACAACTACATGTACACACACACACACACACACCCACCAGTCATACGCACTGGATTAATGGTCATTGTTAAGCTGAGTCTGGTCAGGGTGTGTGTGTGTGTGTCCCTTAAACCCTTTTAGCCGAGTTCTAAAGTAGCTTAGCAGGTTGCGCTCCTTGGTCCAGCCTACAGCGGAGCAGTTGTTGTCGCTGCGTTGTTGACATGAGCGATGGGTCGCTGCAGTCACAACCACCTTCGGGACTTTGGGATGTTTTCTCACACACTGAAGACAGGACTTTAAGGTGGATTATTGGCTGTGTAGCAGTGAACGAGAACCCCGCGGTTGCCTCTGTTGTTCTGAGCTCAAATCTCAGCGCCCTGTCCCGCCGTGATCCTGCTTCCATGACTGGCCCTGGTCTTAGCATGGTGACTGCTAAGTGGTGATGGTACCCTGAGGGCAGCAGGACGGCCGGGCGTCGGCTGGCAGGGAGGGGGCTCAGGGCTGCCCTCACTGGGCGCCCACGAACCCCTCCGATCAAGAAGGGGAGCTCGGTGAGTTGAACAGAACGGGTGCAAACACATGTAAGCTGATTGTGTAACTCATTCAATGAATGGGCTTATGACGGTGCCTGGCTCACTTGCTAATTGGCTGTCCAGACACGTAATGAGAGATAAGTAAGGAGATAAGAGCCCTCTGGACAGTTTTGTTTTGTGCTATGCATCGATAATCTCATGTCTGTGCCGCATTATGCTCTTATATATCTTAATTCTCACGTTTTATAACATAGATATAATATAAAAGTTGAAAAGGCATATTTTTTTCTTTTTAATTGATGGCATCTTGTAGGCAGATGTCAAAGGTCAAAACTGAGAATTGAAAGGTCAGCGCTCATGTAGCACAGATAGATGAAGAGATTAAAGTTGCTATAGATTATCTGTGTTAACTATTAAAGCACAGGTTGCAGTTTTTCATTCTAATGGTGGAAAAATAGTCAAATAAAATCAATAAAATGGGCGTTAATTATGCAGAAATAATGTGAAATTGAGGCATCACATTATTCTTATACCAGTGACACTAGAGTAATGTATCACCCGTCATTAATGGTAAACTATTTTATAAATGAAGGTGACCTCTACAACTAGAAGAGAGGATGACTTTGTTTTCATGACTAGACAAGATGCGGCAATTTCTGCACAGACTCTGCAATAAGAGGTCACCTGCGTGGGGACATGACCTCATCTCCACTGAACCTATAAATTAAGATCAGTAGACTAGTGAGGGCAAGAGGCTGTACGCCATCGATCATCTAGGAAGTGTTGTTCCTGAAGTGATGCCGCTGGGCAAAGAGGTCAGCTGCAAATGCATTTCTGAAAGCCAGAATTACAAAGCAGCCAATCCATATATTGGGCAAGCATACAAGGGCGACAGTGGTAGTAAATCTGGATTAAAGTACTGGACCGTTGGGATGGAAAGTGCAGCAGTAAGGGGTGGGGTGTGTTTGCGTGCCGTGTTGGATTTGCTCGGATGTGACAGTGTGTTTGTGTCACTGGTAAAAGGAGCGCTTTGCACATGTTACAGACATCTGTCAGACATTGGTTTGATTTAAGTTATTATAAGTTGAGCCAGTTGGGATATTGTAGTTGACGGATGTCATCACTGTATGTACTTGAAAAAATGTATGGAAAGCTGTGTGTGTGTGTGTGTGTGAGTGTGTGTGTGTGTGCTCAGCTCACCATGAGG